TCCGTCAATCGAGAAAATTACATAAACCTTCTAAGTTTTTTAGCAAAATACTATGATATCCTGAAAAATCATTTTATTGATTAGACGACTTTCCAAGGTATCTCAAACAGAATCCAAAATGATTTAATTAAATGCACTGCCGACATTGTGATGGATCACATTATATTAAAAAAACACCTTTCGTATCAATTGCGCTTGATGAAACCACAGATGTAGCAAACTTAGGTCAATTATCCATTGTTTTGCGATATGTATTGGATGGCATTCCTCAAGAGCAATTCTTAGGATTTTTGAACGTCACTAGCGAACAAACTGCAGATGCATTGTTTAAAATTGTTTGTGACACATTATTTCAAGCTTAGAATGTGGTTCTAAGCTTGTTGTTCATAGCTACGATGGTGCTGCCGTAATGGCAACATTTTTGCAGAGAATTTCCCTTTTACTGATATTTTATTCGACATTTTACAGACAAAGTCAAATGACATTGGCTTTTGCATTAAACAAATTGATGATTTTAAAAGATTTTAAAAATAAAATGAATAAAAAACGAGATCAGTTTGAACACTTTTGGAATAAGACTCAAAAGATTGGCTTAGAACCTGAAAGAAAGAATTAGAATTAATAATGTCGACGACAGAGAGACCTCCTATCGTCGACTATACGCCCACATTTTTGATATTATTTTACAACAAATGAACTCTCGATTTCAAAACTTTAACGAATTAAAATTTGTTGAATTGTGCAATTTTAATATTAGTAACTACGATTCATCAAAATTTCCATCGGAAGCTTTTAATTCACTTAAATTAAATTATGGAAATTTTTTCGATATTCCAGCATTAAAGTCCCAGTTAAGTGTTGTTTATGAAACAAGTGAAATTAGTGATAAAAAGACGCCCGTCAATGTGTTTAATTTTCTTATGAAAATTGGTTTAAATAAGTCCCTTTGTGAAGTCGTGAAGTTGTGTGAATTAGTATTAACCATCCCAGTCACAAGTGCGTCAGTTGAGCGAAGTTTTTCAGCATTAAAGCGCATTAAAAGTTTTATACGAAATTCAACAAGTGAAAACAGACTCTCTAATTTAGCCCTAATATCCATTAAAAAACCTCTTGTTAAACAGTTATCAGAAAATCCAAAATTTTACGACGATAGACCAATTTGCAACCATTGAGGATAGGCAAATAGATCTTAAGTATAAATAAATGTCAACTGCTGTGTCAACTGTGCGAAAAATGCGGGAAAAATAAACAAAACTTCAGTTAAATATTTTTTTACGTTAAAATAAACCAAGAAAGCTTTTCAATGGTAAGTTTTTTTATAGCTTCTAGTACTAAACTAGGTAATAAAGTAATAGTAACACTTCAAAAATCTCAATCTCGAATTTCCGTATTACTGAGGAAAAAGTAAGATTTTGACAAAATGGTGAATGCGCCGCGAAAAATGTCCGCCTGCGGCGCTGTGCTTACAGGCCTGCTGTATTTTTATACAATCGCTTCCCCTTCCAAAAATGTCACCGCACGACACTGCGAGTGTGGTTCATTCGTTTGCTGCCTAAGAATTCAGCTGTTTAAGTGATTGAAAGTGAAACAAAAAAATTTAAAATTTTGACTGATTGTAGTGTTCAAGATTCTGCATCTAACGATGAATTCAAATTGTGAGTAACATATTTAATTTTGGAGAATTTCTCATAACAACCCAAATTAAAAATATAATTCTTATCAAAATCTCATTAGTAGAATAGAAAAACACGATTTATCTGCATAGATATGAATTTACCTATTTATAAGTATAAATGAAACTCAGTGGCGGAGGAAACTTCTAAATCTACTTATTTGGATTTGTTGAACTCATCTACAAGTAATTGTTTAATTTCAAGCTATGGAAGGTACATTTAAATGCTGCAAAAAATATGGTCATTATTACTAGTGTATTTGTTGTTTCGCTATTTTTCATCCTAGTTGCATTAAAACTAATAATTTTACCTTTATTTGAAAATAAAATTGATTGTAACAAGGTATGTGAACGAATTGTAAAAGACAAAAGTTTAGAATTGATCAAACTATCAAAAATTGAGCAATAAATTAGCTAATAAAGAGGAGAAATTTAAAAAACTAGATTTTAATTATGACCATGATGCTAAAGTATTAAAATTATAAATTAATAGACTGAACGAAGATATTGAACAGAGAAACTCACATCTGTTAAAATTTAAAAAAAACATGCTAGATTTCGAATAAGAAGCTGAAGAAGCCGAAAAAGGTTATATTAATAAAATTAGAAACCAGATGAGAATTATCTCTAAACTCCAGAATGATATAAATAATATGAAAATATTAAATGATCAATTATTAAATGAAATTATAAAACATGAAGAAGGAAGTGATACAGAAAGAAACTCGCTAATAGAATTGGAGGAAATAAATCGAAATATGATCGATACAATCAGAATATTAGAATCACAAAACAAGAGTTACGAAGTTAATTTTATGCAGAAATCTGGGATGAAATTTTGGAGTCTTAAAAATAACGTCAAAAATAGTCGGGAAAATATTGAAAATTATCGGCCAAACATTAAAAATGGTAATGAAAAAAATTACGAAATCGCAAATAATCCAGCTCAACTGCCCGATCAGGTGATACTGAGAAAAAAGAAGCTGAAAAACATGTACTAATATTATGGGATGAATTAGCCAGAAATATATATATATAATTATTTAAATTCATATCTTGAAGCATCGGAATATTCAGTGGTAGGTATTAGTAAACCTAATATTAATTTTAAAACTTTGATAGATTCAGTTTTTGAATATGCTCAGAAGTGTGGTAAAAATGACTTTCTCTTAATACTAGTTAATACACTGAATATTTCTAATTATGCTTCATTATGTAAGGCTCTAGCTCAGTTATTACCACTAGGTAGATTAACAAATCTATTTATTTTTTCTAAAAATGTTCACAAATATGATAAAAAAATTGAAAGTTTTATTGGGAATAAAATCAATCAATTTTGCTTACTAGATAAAAATACGTCCATAACATATATACCTAATGTGACAAATATTAAACTATCAATTAGAGAAACGGTAAATAAGTTTTAACATAAGAATACAAAGATAAACCAAAATTTAGTTTTAAAAGTTATTTTACCAAATGACAATGAATTTGAATATGTAGTAAATACTGAGCCTATTGTTAGTGACTTAGGAGAACCTAATATTTCTTTTTTAGATGTAGTCCATCCATTAATCCTGTTGACTCCTTAACGTTCTTACTTTTAAATATTCGGTCTGTTCGTAATAAAGTTGATGATTTATTTTTATTCATAAAAGATTACTGTTTTTCTCACATTTTATTATTAACGGAACATTGGTTTAAAAAAGATGAACATTTATATATTCCAAATTATAACTTAATAACTATGTTTTGCAGAGAACTGTATGAACATGGGGTTACAGCAATCTTAATACATGATTCCATATTTTATACTTTGAAATTTAAGATTGTAGAATATCCTGAACTTTTAGAGGAAAAACAATTTGAGTTTTCCATTATTTTCATTCTTAAATTTAATATTTATGTTATTTGTATCTATAGATCATCAAATTCAAATTTCGCAGTTTTTTTAAACAATTTGGAATCTTTGCTAAGTATATTTTCTACATCATCTCACGGTAAACTCATACCGGTATGCTACACAGCCTGTTCATATTAGTCGCTTTTTTGCGCATGACGTCACGCTCGCACCATATTTCTGCCTTGTTTTTAAAGTAGAACTACGAAGTTTTGAGTTTACTGTCAGTTTACCTAAAGTTTTGTGGCTTAACATATTTTTTAACAAAAAATGCCAGGTTGTGCTGTGGCAGCTTGTCGTAATTTTAGCAAAAATACTAAAGGAAGCCAAATTAAATATTTTTTATTTCCCAAAAGCGACATTGCTAAAAAATGGGTTGTAGCGTGTAAAAGAAATGATAAGATAAATTAAAAAAGTGGTAAGTAAATCGTTGTTGTTATGTGAAACATTCATTTTGATGCTTTTTTCCTCGCGGTTTGAAATAATTTTTTGGTTTTATGAAAATAAAATGGTTTTCCTTGTTAATCAAAATGAACATACTCCTCTTTTTTTATTTTGAGCCAGCCATCATTTTCAAAATGCCAGGCTTTAGAAGAACCTACTTATGTTACAAATACTGTTGATGTAGCGATGAAGTTACAAGAAAACAAGTATTTTTTTTTCCATAGAACACAAGAAATTTACAAAAATGCCAAAGTTAACTAATTTAAAAAAGTAACATTTCTGTGCACCAAGTTTGTTAATTTTATTTTTTGGGGTGAGAGATATTATTGTCTTGGTAAAATGGAGCTTTTAATGAAAATAAACTTAAATTATTTAAAAATAATGTGTTTTAATTTAGAACATATGTATTAAGCATTTTAAAACATACAAATTTACAAACTTATGAAATATAAATGCCTGATTTTCAAATTTATTAAATAAATAATGTATTTCCTTTGAAATGTATTTCATTTTTCTAACAATAAACTTAAATTATATAAAAATAACCTGTTTTGGTTAAAAAAAAAAAATGGATTAGGTACTTTGGTACTTTAAGTATTTTAAACTTATTATAAAGAAATCATGTAGGAATTTCCATTGCAATATTATTCTCAGTGCTAACAACCGTAAAAATATTTATTATTTATAAAACAAAAGTACTTTAGATAGGCCAAAATAATAATTATTGTCATTCATCGTGGCTTAAATCGTTGAGATAAATGCGAATTATTTATGCGAGGTGCGAATATGACGTCACATTGTGCGAGAGAGACTGAGCTACATGCGCGTCGGCATACCGGTGTACGTTTACTGTGACATCATTTAAAATAGTTTTTACAGGTGGCCTAAATATAGATTATCTCAAGAATGATGATAATAGTACTATTAGATTAAAAAAAATTATTAATTTCCTTTAATTTAACTTCGTTTTAACTTGGACAAACTCTAATACATTGATAATTGTGACTTCTTATCAAGTTCCATATTTACTAAACAACCAAAAACATTTTTCATCTTCTGTAGTGTTACATTATGCCATTGTAGCACGTGAATTTTAAAATTTAGCTGCAGCTTAAAATATAATTCGGCTCTTAAATTTGTGCATCGCACAATAAAATTAAATGTTTCTTCAGATAAAAACATATCTACAGACCTTGTAAACGATACGTCTTCATGTGGAAAAACCTTTGTGTTTGGACAAGGAATGCCAAGAACTTCTGTAACTTGATTAGGAAGTCTGTCTTTAATCGAATCACCTATGATCTTCCACCCAGCTGGATTATTGTCTATAGATGACGCGTTACTATAGTCTGACATATTTTCTCTGTCATCACTATCATTGAAACTTTCACATTCACTACTTGAAGTGATATTTTTCAACAGAAAATCGGAATCACTCGAGTTCATTTTGAATACTAAATAGTAAACAAAAAAAAAAAGATCCTAATAATCTTTATTTGTGGTGCACTAGTATATTAAACAAAAAAAAAATAACTTACATGTTTCATATTTTCCTCAATGCCTATTATTATTTTATCCAATACTCAGCGCAAAACGCGTTGGCACGACACTGGACGACCGGGCGTTCAGCGACGTTCCGAGAACTCAGAAATTAAATGGAACAGGGCATAGTAAATATGTGCCTCTGTTGTTTTCTCTCTCATTATGATCCGAAAAAACAAGGACAACGACATTATCGCTTAGCAAGAGATGAACACATGCGATGGATTATACGTCACAAGCGGGGCGCTGTCCTTATCGTGACGTGCTGTACCCATGGCACAAATTACCTAGACCAGATACGAATGTACGCAGTGGCATCTTTAACGGCTCCCTCACAAAGGCGATGCGTTTGTTGGACCATAATAATAATTTATTTATTGTGATTACGAAAAAACGTTAGTTGGACCATTGGAATAAAACTTTTTTTTTATAAAGCAGTCAAAAATATGATGAACAAAAATCAATAATATTTATAAATGGGACAAAATTTTAATTTTTCTTTTGGTTTTGTCTGACTTTTTCGAGGATTTCAAATCTCTATTTGCATATTTAAGAGTATGAAAAATTTTGAGTCTTATAAATAATTTATTGGTGTACATTTTTGCAAATTGTTGGCAAGGATGACCAAATTCTATTTTCCTCATCTCAAAAAGGTATGCGTTGAAAAGTCCAGGCTTAGTTGACAAACTATCAAATAGAGATATAAATATTTTTTCTAATTTGAAAATATAAAAGAGAAGTTTTTCGCTGGGAGATTTTCAATTGCTAAACACCTTTTCTTCAGAGTCGTATGCTGTAAAATGCGTTAACAAGTTAAAATTTTTAAGTAAATTGCATTCTTCTGAGAAATTTACGCAAATTTCGCAAGAGTGGATATGTAATGAGTTTTTGATTAAATAGCAACATACATAGTTAAATGCATTTTGAGTGGTCACATTTAGCTCCCTGTAGTCACATTCAGAAATCGTTATTGCCCCAACTGATTGTTTTGAAATATATTTAATTTTCATTAAGCGGAGAACTTGTTTTTCTAAGGGAAAAACGAATCCCGGGATTCCTTTCCAGTGTGTGCCCCACTGCCGCTTTTCCCCTTTTCTTTCAGCAAAATTATTTATTCTGCACAAACGAGATTAAAGTCCGTTGTTTGTACCTTCAGTTCATGTAGATAATTAAAAATCAACGTGACCTCTATATTGTAAATATGATAAATATAGTTAGTATTGTTGCACTTCGCCTCTATTATACATTGTATAATAATTTTTAAACAAAAATTACTAACTCATCCGGAATTTTTTACAAAACTTTTAATAAGCATCTCGAACAATATCTTTATTTTTAGACATATTTGCAAATGGACATAGTTAAATTTCGACAATTAACGAAAATTTACCGGAGTTGGAGTATCTAAAAAAGAGCTTGTTTCTCGTAAAATAAAACGTAAAATGGAACGATAGCAAAGAATATAAAATAATAAACCTGAACTTTAAATGAATGTTTTTGTATCGAGTTGAAAAATTAATGTTGTAGGGTGATTTTTAACGGGAAAAATTTCAAGTGGAAAAATTTACATTTTATTTTCCAATATTTTGTATGGATCGCCGCACATACGTGAACTTTCCTAACAAAAATAATAAACTGCGGCAAAAATTACATATCGAACAAAAAAATAAAGCGAAAACAAATACGACATAATTACAAATGATGTATGATGTATATATTATGAATTCTTTTTTTATTAAATTACAAGACATCTTGAAACTTATCTCCAAGATCTCGCAAAGAAAATAACACGTAATGTACAATTTATGACTTTTTGTCCCATAAAAGTATACAAAGTTGAGACGTGCTGCTAAAATGTATGTAATAATGTTCCGTATCTTTTTCTCTAACTTTTTGATGCATTTTTAAAGGAAATCCTACATCAGAGAATATTTTGTAACCAAAAATAGTCTAATAACATAATATAACATAGCATGCAGTTATATGTTTCTAAAGAAGTTATCAATAGTTAAGAATTTAAAATAATATATGTACACTGAGAAAATTCGGCTTATACAAGTATCTAGATAAGATTTTTGACTTGTCATTATTCAATATCTAACAATAGCAAGTTTTTTAAAAACCTGCCGTTCTTTTATTAATCTTTCTGTGACCATTGTATTACCCTCATTAGATAAACATTTATCTTTAGTTTACAATTATTTAGCAGTTATTCAATCAATTTGCTAATAATTCAGGAATAACCGTTAGTTGGCATTGACTAAAAATAATTCTAAAAAAAACTTGCAGTTATCTTTTAAATTTTAATACCGCCATCTACTAGTAGTAATAACCATACAATTAAGGTTATTTTTTTAACTACTATTAGTATCTTCTATACCGATTGTAGGCCAGGTTGAGTGACGTTGCCACATATTTAGTTAAATATTATAAAATGACTAAATAAATCATAGAATGTTGTATACCATATTAAATAATATATTTCCAAAGATAGAATGCACTTCCACATAAAGTATCTAATAATTATAAACTAAAAATGCTGATTGATTTCAAAATACATATGAACCCATCGACAGCAAATAATCTCCGCAGAAATCCTACTACCATACTACTACTACTACCTGTATTATGGTTACTAAATTGCCCCAACACAAAATATGTTCGTATTTCATAAATAACTTGATGTTTTTTGTTTGACATAGGTGCATTTTTATCTGTATTTTATTGTATCTAAAAAATTATATTTTTCTATCGCAATTTATTTGTTACTACACTTTATTTGTTACTTTGCATATTTTATAACCGGCAACGTTGGAAATTCTGCCTTTTCCTGCCAAGAAGGAAAAGAGACAGAGTTATAGCCTTGATATATAGACAAATAGAGATAGGAAGAGACGCCAAAGTTGGTTATATTTATTTAATATATTCCTCCATGGCATGGTTCATGGTCATGGTTTTTTACTGTTTGTTTCAGTTTCAGAAGCTTTTTGATTTTAAATTATTTCTTATTGCTTTTGTCTTTTAAATAGTGAAAAAGTAGAAAAAACTGGATATGGATATTAACTCTATCCTGAGAAAATGGGGATTTGGTGAATATTTGAAGGCTTTTGACGGTAAGAAAAATTAGTAGTTATTAAATCGAATTCTATTTTATATGAAACAATTTGGGAATATTTTATATATTTGTTAGAGTGGCTTAAATTCACAAGAACTTTAATTTTTCATTTGTAGTTCGTGATTTGCAATAACAGCTATGTTTTGTTTTACTTGAAACAAATTTTTAATAATAATAGAACGTCTTTGTTTCTTTCCAACATATAGGCAAAGATTAAAAATAAAGGTTGATTCATGTGCCATTTTTTAAATTTTATTTTAACCTTATATTTCTATAAATATTTATTGTAGTTGGCCAGCTATCCTACCTACTAAATTTACGGATGTTGAAAATAAATAAGCCTAAAAGATTTGCCTCTTGAAACCAATCAAAAAATGTAGGTATAAGGTTAACAAACGGTTTTTCGTTAAAATAAAAAACACTTATCTGGATCACCTGGTTTTTTATAATTGACCAAATTTGTTGCTTATTTGAATCACAAATTCCGAATTGTTTTGTTTTTGTTATTTAAAATAAAAAAAATTATTTTATTTTTTTTTATATAACCCATTCCCCTCCCACACTTACCCCTCTCCGTAAATAGAAAGAATTAATTGATAGCCTATTCGTTGCTACTTTATTTTCTACCTAAAATTATTTGAGCACTTGTCTGTGATTATTCAATTTTCCAGCTAAGGTTATGAGAGCATCTACCTGTTGCTATTTCTCTATTTTATTACGCATATTATATACCCAGCTAGTTGTTGTTTGACGAATTATCTGCGATTGATCTGTTGTAAAATTGACGTTATTAGATCGTCTACTTATGACTGAATATTTATTTGAATATTTTATCACTAGCTTGGTGCTATTTAATCGTTTACCTGTGGATATTCGATGTGTATGTTTCTGTCGAATAACTGTAAGTATGTTACTGTATAAGGGCTATACGGTAAAAGAATAAACTGCGCAATTGCAGAATGATTAAGGGTTATTCGACCATTGACTAATGGTTATTCGATCATTTCAGCAAGATCAAACTAATAATGACAAGTTCATATTTTTGCTGTCACGTATGGTATCCAAATATCTATTAAGGGTTATTTGATATCGACTAACGGTTATTAGATAGGTGTTTACCTTTAAAAAATTATAGGTACAGTTCATCAAATTTCTAGAGGCTTTCGACGGCTAGCCAGAGAAAGCACTACTGACAGGCATCCCGACGGATTTACGCAATGAAAGTACACTCTGCGCATCAAGTATTTCACTATTTCATTCAGACGTAAATGTCAGATGTAAATTTCGCTAAAACATTTCTTTTATTTTCGTTTGTGTTTTTTGCTCATTACAGTTTAATAGAACCTAAGTATGGAGTTTAATAGCAAATTAAGAGGCCGCGTGATTAACAGTCAATCTCGCGAAATAATAGCCAATGTTATAGAGTTTATGAGAAGAGAAGGAAACTTTAATTCACCTTCAATACCATTAAAAAATGTAAATGATCGTGTTGCTGCAGCCACAGGAGTATCTAAAAACACTGTCGTCCGCATTTCTGGAGAGAAAAAAAGAATCGATAACCGTGAGATATCGGAATTTTCATCACCAAGAAAAACCATTAAAAAACCAAAAACAGTTAATGATATAGATGAAGCTGCACAAGAATCAAATTTTATTTTTTGATTATTAGATAGCTATTTTTGTTTCTGAGTTGTGTTCATTTACAGGCTCAATTTTTTTCCGTTTCTCCTTTTTGATTTTATATAGGGTTTCAAGTTGTTTTTGACTTATTTCGACGTAAATCACAATA